GACACTGTATATTTCATTAAGAATGTCTGGTACTTCACTGTTTTTGATTTATTTTGTAGGCATTATGGAGCATGGAACTTGGATGCATGGATCATGGAGCATGGAACTTGGAGCTTGGAGCTTTGGATCTTGAAGAGAATAGGGACCGGTCATGCCATGGAAGAAAACATGAAGACATAACCCGAGTCATTGTTGCATTGTCATCATAGCAAGCGACTACGTTTGAAACATGAGTCTTGTCACACCGACACGGGTCATGTTTGTACTTTCTCATCTTATACTTGAGCAACATGACTCATAGTGAAGCTAGACTGAAGATGGAGCCAACAGTGAAGACTTATTGGACTTTTAGCAAAAAGCATGGGTCATGCCAAAATCACATGGTCAAGACAAATGGCCATTCCAAAAGCACATGGGCAAAAAGCATGGCCATGCTAAAAACGCATGGCCTTATGGAAAGCATGTGATCTTTATTAAAATAAGGGGGTGTCGCCATTTTATAGGGGATGGTTTCTAGATCAACTTTGGGGCGATTTTGGGAGAATTCTTGGAGCTTTTGAGAAGACCAAATCATTGGAAACACTTTTGATTTCATTTTAGTAAGCATTAAATATTTCAATTCCATCTTTATTCTTGTTTGATTTGTTCTTAGCCATGTGTGGCTAAGAAACCCTAATTTCTAGTTCTTGTTCAAAACATATTGATTGTGTGACTTGAAGCATATGATTTGATGTTTGATTTGTGATTCTATTCTAGTGATTATGTTTTTGCTTAAACTAGAATCCTTGAATTTGATTGGCCACTTTCATGAATTGAGTTTTTGTACGGTTATTTAACTTTTAGGGCACATATATCACATGCTTTCACATAAAGTTAATGATTGGTAACAAACAATAGGTTTTCTTATTGTGATACATATATCACATGTTTTCACACTTCCGAGTGTATGAGAAGAAATGAACATTGTTGGGAAGCTTGTACAAAACTTAATGCAGTTTTGCAATGCAACCTAAGAGTGTGTTTAGGTTAAATTAGTAAAGATAGGTCTAGTCAAATAGCATGTTTTGGTTAGATAACTTGACAAGCAAGAGGTATTACACCGTGTTAATATCTTTGAGTACCAATGGGTTAATGACTAGATAGCCACGGTAAGATGGAAGGCCCGCGCTAATGCCCTTAGAGTCGTCGGTCGAATTACCGATCAATTAGATTCTTGGATGAGCGGAACATCTTTGAGACAAATCAACTTAGAATAGCAATCATGAATTACATCAAGTCATAATCAAGTTGAACAACAACATTGAGAACTAGAACTAGAATCATTCAATCAAATTGTTTAAAGTTTATTTCATTTTGTACATGCTTTTAAAGTAGATTTTTATTTTATTATTTTACTTTTGCAAACAAAACCCCATTTGTGACCAAAGTACCTTACGCAAAAAGGTATAGACTTTTATCCCGTGTCTCTGTGGTTCGACCATGCTTGTCTTGTCCTTCTTTTTAGTGCATTAAAACAATATATTTGGAGTCTGTTGTACCCCTATTATTTGTGGGGTTTGACACGCCCAACAGTGCTAAACCCTAAAAATTAGGGTTTGGGGACTTCATGCGTACGCTACGCGTACCCTTTTGTATGTAGTGTGTACGTGCATAGCATCTGCGACCATTCATCTTTATATGATGGGTGTACCCCATCTTATGATATGCATACCCAGCTAATACACGTGCATGCATCCTTGCATGTGTGGGACTGATATGCAAGCTTTTCCATCCAAGGGCCAATTTTGTCAATAACTTCAAAACGTCATAACTCACTTATCCTAGGTCCGTTTCTAACGAACTTTATATCCATAAAAATGTGTCAAGAAGACCTACACTCCTAATAACTCTTCCAATCCTTAAAACCTTCCAAACAAAATCCAAAACCCATGAAAGACCGAGATATCAATTTACAGTCATACCCTTGGCTTCCGAGGACACAACCGAATACATGGATCACCTAAACCATGGAAACTACATCCGAAACAGGCTAAATCCCTCCTTTCCCAAAGCCCTAAACCCCATGACAACCAGTAATTTGGCTGCAACCCCAAGCAACAAGGCAAATCTAAAACCGAGTGTTAATAAAAGCTTAATGAAAAGCTAGATGAGGTTAGTGCCGTAGAATGCTTTTATATAGTAAGGAATAAAAAAAAGAATAAATTATAAATTGATAGTATGAAGCTCTATATAGAGTTTTTTGGGGCAAAAAGCCTATTTGTGTATTTGTGTGAAAATTTTAAGGAAAGATGTTGTGGAAAAAGGCATGAAATGCCTATTCGATTGAAAGTAGAATAAATATATTGAATTGAAAGTCTCTATATAGAGCATTGAATGCATAGAGAATTTGGTACTCTGTAGAGAGTGTGTATGAAAGGCTTAGATTTCCTTGTGTAATGGGAATGAAAATTGATGTCAGCCACCGTGGATGAATCCACGTAGATAGTGAGTTGACACGGTTCTCAGTCTCATGTCTTCATGGGGTTATCATGGAAGACTCCACTTAAATAGTAATCGACATGGATCTGTCTCTTAAGACTCAAGTATCCAAGAGATTCTGACTTAAGTGCAATTCGTAAGGGTTACCGATGGCCTCCGATTGATCTGTTCTTTTATGGCCATATATGCTAGGATTTGTGTGTGCTAGGACTTTATGTATGAAAGTGTTTATGTATAAAGTAGATAAAAGTATTTTAAACAGAATAAGAGTCAGTCTTAAAACCCACGTAGCTCACCAGATTTTTGTCTGACATGTTTGTTTAAATATGCTATGTACTCATGTATAGAAGTGGACAATAGGGATGTCAAAGGGGGCAAACGGGACAGAGAGTGCATCCCCCGCCCCTGAAATTTCCCCCGCCCCCGAAATGTTCAGCCTTCAAACCCCTCCCCCACCCCGAATCCCCTTTATTACCCCCGCCCCCGATTGATTTTGGCTTTTTTTTTTTGCTAAAAGAAAATTGTTATTTAGGCCAAAAGAAGCTATTTTTTTAGGTAACAAATAATTATTTATAGTAGTATTTTACATGTTAAAAACAAAAAAAGTTATGACATCTTAAAAACATTATACTAACAAACTTAAAAACAAGTTTTTTGATAAATTTTGGAAGCTCGAAATCATGTTATTGTTTATTATATTTACATCATTAATATATGTAAATATATGTGTAATTTATTAACGGGGTCCCCATGGGGGTTTCGGGACGGGATTGCCTACCCCGCCACCGCCCCCAATATTAAAATGGGGGTAAACCTTACCCCCACCCCCGACCCCGCCCCCGATATTCATAAGTGAATAAAAATGTATCATAATTTTATTACAGTACATTCGTTATTTATTTATAAATAAAACATATGTTTAGTTATTTTTATTTTTTTAGAGTTGAAGTATCGTTCATATATGAAATACATAGTGAGAATGGGAAAATATTTATTATTCACTTATGAATAAAACATATACTTATTTTTTTTGTCTGAAATACAGTTTATTACAGTACATCCGTTATTAGCTTATGAATAAAACATATGCTTATGATTGTAGGATTTGGATTAACACGTAATACGTTTTCAGGTTTTGGGGAGGGATACTCGTTTTGTACCACTACACAACCTTAGGTTTCGCAAAAAAAATCAAGTGTAAGCATTGCAACTATTGTTTATATAAATAACTCGTTTAACATTCCTGTCAAATATGATTACAAATTATATAAATATGAATAATCATAAATTTTTATTAATAAGATAGATTAAAAATATATTCCTTAAGAATTGACATTAGTTCTCTAAGTAATAAACTTAAATAGAAGCAAATTAGGGATAATGACTTGAGAGAGTAACAAACTTTTAACTGTGTTCACATTTAGTCACTGAATTTTTTTTTCGTGTTTGATTTACCCATAAATTATATGAAATTATTCACATTTTATCATAAGGGTAAAATGTAAACGGTTTCAAATAATTCATGGGTAAATTAATCACGAAAAAGTTCAATGATTAAATTTAAACAAAATTGAAAGTTTGTTACCCTTTAAAGTAATTATTCTGTAAATAGTTCTAGATGTTATTGAGAATGAGCACAATTGGAATATGTAGGTCACAAAGTGAGGATGTTGTAGTAATCATGTGATATACCTTTATTGTATAAGGTATTGAAAACAACATTTAGAAATGCAGTAGAAGGGGCTTCAATCACATAGAAACTAAATGAAAAAAGATTGTGGTGGTTTCAGACATATACTTAGGATATAAACAACATTTTTCACTGTAAAGGGTAGAGATGGTCGTTGTAGAACATGGGAGGAAGAGAGAACATAGGATAAAGAAGTGTGAAGATAATGTGATGTTAGATTTGAATGAGGTTTTTCTCTTTACAAGGAAACGAGCTTTGATTAGAGAGTGTAGATGCATAAGATTAGGGTCGTGGAGCAGTACATGAGTAGCCTAGGTGTTAGATTCCTTTATATTATTTGTGCATTTCGCTCAGTTTTCACTGTTTTTTACTTTCAACTGGTTTTGTCGATACTTTTCCTTCTAGTTATTAGTTGCATCTACATTTTCTATTTGTATGTTGGATTTATATGTACTTTTTCTTCTTGCTCCTTTTGATTTCCAATATTATTTTTCATTTTATTATTCATATATGTATATTTTCGTATTTGTGAAACTCTATTGATTATTTATTCTTTGTGGGTTGTCATTTCATTTAGGGAAAATGACATATATGCCCTATAAACTTTTTAGGGTTAACTCTTTTAGTCACTTAACTTTTTAAGTGGTTTTATAAGGGAACAAACTTGTGGCTACCTGTCTTTTTAGTCTTCCTGATTTGTTATAACCTGTTTGAGTGCCACATATCCAAAAATTGGGCCCATTTCTTTCTTGTTTATCATTTTCCTATGTGTTAAATGGAAGAGTTTGAAACAAAGGCAGACGATTGAGAATGATGAGGAACGCAACTAAAATCAGAAAAGTGGGAAGCCTTTCGGTGCCTGGTTGACTCGACGGAGGTGAAATGAAAGCAAAAAAGTTGCAATCGATGGCTTGTTTGTGTCCGACGGCCGGTGGAGTTGCAGGGGTGCCATAGATGTAATTTGTGAATCGAAGCTTGGAATCTGTGTTTCGCCATCAAGATTCATTGTTTCAACATAGCGAATTGCATCATCGTAGCTGGATGAAAGCAATAGAAGATCTGCAGGGAAGAATTCGTCCTTTTCTACTTTCACTATATCTCCACTCTTAGTTTCTTCCATTGGCTCGATTCGAAAACTCGGCCACTACGATGAACTTTAACTTTTTCGATTATTTACCTCATGATCCTGAAAACATATTAGAAATTTAGAAATTAAATAAGGTTTAACTTTCTATAAGATCTACCATTCAATCATGAAATATCTAAATTTCAAACTTACAGACATACATGTTGTTCTCTTTGCCAATCTCCGATCCCTTCTTTCCCCATTGTAGCACCAATGACGATAATAAGAGGAAGAATCAGGTGAGTAAGGAGCTAATGGTGTAAAAGTTAAGGTCCCAGTAACAAGAAAGTAGAAATTAGCGACAATGATTTTGGGAAAAATGTTATTGGGTGTGTACTTTGTTAACCTCACATAATTATGGGCGTAATCAGAACATGACGACATGATTTGATGTTTACTAATGTGTATTAGGTAACATGATTGAGGGATATCAGATGGGGAAGAAGATGAATAGTACTAGGATAAGAAATAATTGGTCAACAAACATCTGATGTGGCAAAGGGGTAACCAGATGACCCCTTCATTTTGCCCAAAAGGACTTGATCGACCCGAAAAAGTGTAATTTGTTCTCTTATAAAGCCACAAAATAAGTTAAGTGACTAAATGGGTAAACCCTAGAAAGTTTATAGGGCATATATGTCATTTTACCTTTCATTTATAGGTGAATAAAGAAACTCTAGTTACACGTTTATCTCATGGACTAGGATTAAAGTCATGAACAACTCTCCTCCACTTAACTTAGACTTCATCCTCGAAGTCCGTCATTGCAAATAACTTAAGGTAGTGCTCCATCATCTCCTCAGAGAGCTCCCAAGTCCACTCGGAACCCTTCCAAAGATGCCATTGCACCTTCACTGAAACAACCACCTTGTTGTGCATGGTCTTTGTCTTACTGTCTAGAATTGATGGTATCTAAATTATTAATCTAAGTAATTACAAAAAGGATAAAAACTTGAAAAGGTAATGAACTTTCAACTTTGTTCATATTTAATCAACTTTGTTCAACTTTGTTCATATCTAAACTTGAAAAGGAAACCCTAACTTAGGAAGCTCAAAAAATTCCCAGAAAATTGACATTTTCAGGAAAGAGTAAAAATGAAAGAAACAATTTCTGAGAAACTCGAGAAATATTTCTTTAACCTTCAATATGAAGATTATGATAAAGCTGACCAAAAACTTATTCGGCTTTTATCTTTAGAAACTGAAGAATGTGAAGAATTGTATCAAAAAGAACCCAAACTTTTTGATCAATATTTTAGAATGACTAAAATAAATAAACCTGATATTGAATCAGAACAAGAAGATAATTTTAAAACAAATACACAGACTGTTAAGTTCGAATATTCGGATATGGAGGATGATGAAGCAGAATCTTGTTATACAGCCACAAGAAGAGGCAATAAAAAGAAATATGAGTTCAAAATGCCTGTCCACAATGGAATTCCAAATAGTGGTTAAGGACCCAATACGATCAATGTACTCAATATTGATTGTATCCAAGATCTAAAACTCAGAGAAAGAGTTGTAGAAAAATGGGTTACTGAGATTTCACTAATCTTACAGACAAACCCAGATGAATTTGAAAAAGCAAAAAATGTTCTACTACTTTTAGAACACAAAACTGATCGAATTGTGCAAACATTCCTAAGAAACAATAATTGGAATGAAGATTTGCATGGTTCAGATCTTTTTGATAATCTCATAAATGTCATATACACTACTTTCTTAGGTCTTGATTATATTTCTAATAAAGACTTCACCATTAATAAAAAAAATTTACATAGCAAGAGTTTCAATAACAAAACTCCAATTACATGATATTAGTCTTCTCGACAAATACACATGTGTGTATGAATCATATACGTATGATATTCCACAGAGAAGTGAATGTGCGCAATGGATATCTGCTTATCTCATGAAAATTCCAATTATTGGAGAAACCTGTACCGACAGATGGAAAAAAGAAGCTACTGGAGAAATCCAGCAAACCAATCTTTTCTTATGCAACAAAAATTGTAAAAGAAGAAATTGATAGAATCTGTCAAGACAAATATAAACAACAAAAGCTTAAAACAATAAGCAAAGATTGTTGTAGCATTCTCTCTGATTTCAAAAACTTTGATATTGGAAGGAAAAAGTATACTAAGAAAAAAGTATAAAAACAAAAAGAAATACAAATCTTTTTGGAAAAAGAAAAGAAGAAAATTTTCACCAGGAAAATACTTCAAAAAACCTTCAAAAGAAACACCTAAGAAGACTACTTCCTGTCCGCAAGGAAAGAAAAAATGTAGGTGTTGGATCTGCAATGAAGAAGGACACTATGCCAATGAATGTCCAAATAGAAAAAAAATACCTTGACAAAGTCAAGGTTTTACAAACCGCTAACAATGGAGATTATGAAGCTCTTGAAGAAGAGTATGATGGTATACAACATGTTTTTACGTATCATGTTGAGACTGAATCTTCATCAGACACTGATGGATACGAATCAACAACGGGTGACTCAAACAAGTCCCATACAGACCCCACTTTTCAGGGAGGAGGAGGTTAACCATTTTTGCGCAAACCTCCAGATGATTGATGATTCCCTTATCATGAATCTTACTAATCCAAACTCTATTTATGTTTCTGCCTTCCTTAACTTTAAAGGATATAAAAAGTTTACAGTACATTGTTTTGTAGACACAGGTGCAACTTTATGTCTTGCAAGCAAATTCATCATTCCAGATGAACTCTGGGAAAACGCCCCCAAAGAAATTAGTGCCACTATTGCAAATGGTGAAACCATAAAAATTAATAAAGTTTGTAGAAATATTAATCTCGAACTTTCAGGAGAACATTTCAACGTTCCCACTATTTACCAACAAAAATTCAGGAATTGGTAACAACTTCTGCCAAGTCTATGGACCATTTATACAATGGATAGATAGAATTTCCTTTCATCTTACTAATGATATGGTAATTATAAAAAAAAGGTTACAGAAGCCTATAACAAAGGAAAACAAGGTTTTCTTGAAACTCTAGAAAAAGGTTCTAAAGAAAAACAAATTCCGGGTACTAATATAACCCAAGAAGGGATTAATAAAGAAAGGATTATTTCTATTCAAACTACCAAGTTCAAATAGATCGAGGATCTTCTTGAAAAAGTTTATTTTGAAAATCCTATTGATCCAAATAAAACCAAAGGATGGATGAAAGCTTCAGTTAAGCTTATTGATCCCAAAACGGTTATTAGAGAAAAACCTATGGTTTACTCTGTACAAGATAGAGAAGAATTTTCCAAACAAATCAAGGAATTACTTGATATGAGACTAATTATAGAATCAAAATCCCCTCATATGTCTCCTGCCTTTCTTGTCACTAAAGAAGCGGAGAAAAAGAAGAGGAAAGAAGCGTATGGTTGTCAACTACAAAGCAATCAATGATGCAACTATTGGAGATTCACATAATCTTCCCAATATGCATGAACTCTTGACTCTTCTACGAGGAAAGAGCATTTATTCAAGTTTCAACTGCAAGTCAGGTTTCTGGCAAGTTCTACTTGATGAAGAATCGCAGCTTCTCACTGCCTTCACATGTCCTAATGGACTCTTTCAATGGAAAGTACTACCCTTTGGGCTTAAACAAGCTCCCAATATTTTTTAAAGACACATGCAGAACGCCCTTCGAGGCCTTGAAGGTTTTTGCACTGTATACGTTTATGACATCATGATCTTTAGCAAAAATGAACAAGAACACTATGTTCATGTCACACAGGTTCTCAGAACTATTTTAAAATATGGAATAATACTTTCAAAAAAGAAAGCTCATCTTTTCAAAACAAAAATCAATTTTTTGGGTTTAGAAATAAATGAGGGTACTCATTGTCCTCAAAAGCATATTCTTGAACATTTACATGACTTTCCAGATGTTTTAGAAGATAAAAAGCAACTACAAAGGTTTCTTGGTGTTTTAACTTATGCTGAAACATATATTGAAAAACTTGTAGCCATGAGAAAACCTTTACAGGCAAAATTAAAAAAAGATGTCATTTGGAATTGGTCAAGTGCTGATATACACTACATCAAAAAGATAAAGAAAGTTTTAATCAATTTTCCAAAACTTTATCTTCCAAACATTGAAGACATTTTAATTATTGAAACTGACGCTTCTGATGAATTTTGGGGAGGTGTTTTAAAAGCTAAAAGCCCCAAAAACAAAGAACAAATTTGCAGGTACAGCTCTGGCAGTTTCAAAACAACTGAGAAAAACTACCATAGCAATGAAAAAGAATTACTCGCTGTAAAAAGAGTTATTACAAAATTCTCTGTATATTGAACACCAGTAAAATTCCTGGTTCGTACAGATAATAAAAATTTTACTTATTTCCTCCGAACTAAGATTGCAGGAGATAAAAAATTAGGCCGGCTAATACGTTGGCAAGAGTGGTTCTCACGATATACATTCACTGTTGAACATCTCGCAGGAAACAAAAACGTACTGGCAGACTGCCTCACCCGTGACTTCAGGTATACCTTACATCATCCATGATCTCACTCGCTCCTCTTGAGCCCTATAAAAGGATATGATCCTCATGACATATTTCCTCACAAAAACTTCACCTATAAAAAAGAGAGGGGGAGATTAGAGAGAAAAGTAAACAAAAACCGAGTTTACAAAAATGGAAGACCTCAACACTTTGAGGATAAAGAAACAAATGCTCCTCATAGAGCTATCTGCAATTGAGCAGAAAATCAACTTGTATGAACAAGTAACAACGGTCACCAATGTACCGGAAAGCGAAAGCTCAAAAATAAAGGTTATTCCAGTGCAAACGACACCTGGTAAAGAATCAACAAATCCCTTGAAAGCTGATGCTTTGCTAAAAAAAACATAATAAAGGAGACATCTACTCCTCTTCCTAATGGAAAAACTAGCTTATTGGTTAATCCCAATCCTTGTACTGAAGGAATCAGTAAAATGACAACTTTGTCACCCACTAACAAATTTGTGCAGGAGTTTACACTAGATTACAAAAAAGCTCTTAACAAAGAAGTTGAAAGATTCTATGTAATCTACAAAGGACCCCATGCCGGTGCTCATACTGACTGGGGAATTACAGAAACCTTCTGTAAAGTTGATAAAGTTACTTGCAAAAAATTCAGAAATGAAACATCTGCAAGATTTAACCTTGCCACTTATCAAGACGATACAAGCAAGACTAACCAACCACTTTTTCGACCAAAAATTCAAAGAAGCCCACAGAGACCAAAGGTTTGACGTTCCAAGTGACGTTCAACAAATTGTTAACTATCCTGAAATCTCTTTTGAACATTTCAGAGCAATCTGGAAGAAAGCAAGAGCTGCATGCCCAGAAGACCTTGTTCATGAAAAGTTTTTCACTACGGACAAGAAAACAAAAAGTCTGTTCAACTTCCTCGGAGGAGCAGATGCAAAATTAGTCTACCAAGCCTTTCAAGCTGGACTAATCGACAATATTTACCCAAATTGCAACCTTCAAGAACTCAAATTCTTCCCAAGCAGCATAGTAGAATCTATTAAGAACTTTCGAAAGAAAGTACTTAAAGCAAAAGATAATCCGATCTACATCAGATGCATCTCTTCACTCCCAGAATGGATTCAAGAATCAACTCTTTTTCCATACCACTTTCTGGAAATTGGTCTTTCTAAAGCCAATAGAGAAATTGAGCAATCTCAACCAATGGAAGATAAAGATCTACCTTTCACAGAAATTCTTCATCCCAATCGCATCAATGGTTTAAGAAGAATCTCAGAAAAAATCATTAAGATTATCTCTAGTTCAAAAAAGAAGATTAATTATACCGACTCACATTGTATAATTACGAGCTGGAGTTATAATAACACCAGCCAAGAAGATCTTCGTCAAGCCTCCAAGTTTGGTGAAAAATTCATGATCAATAACATAGAAATATCCAACGCTACACGCCAACACTTCTGCCGACATGCAGAACAACTTTTCGAAGAACATCTTTGTCACTTTTGCGAAAGCAAAGATTCGGAGACAAAGGAGGGGCCCTCCTCTAAAGATGACAAATCCTCATCATCTTAAAGAAAGATGCTTCATGCGTCAAATGGCCTTGGCCACTCAAAATAATAATGTCTTTCTTCATTATTAAAAGCTTCCTAGCTGTCCACAATAATGTAATCTTTAGTGGATAATAGGCAAAGATCAGACCCTCTCAATGTATCTATAAATTGAAAGTTATGTTTTGTTTTAGGGACATCGCAATAACGAGTGCAAGAAAAAACACTCTCTATCTAGTAAATTTTCAGTTCAATATCTAGTGAGTAATTCCTCCCTTAGAAGGGAGAAAATGTAAAATATTGTAAGAGTTTTCCCTTTTTGGGAACTCTTTTATCAATAAATATTTGTTTTTTTATTTTTTAGTGTTCATACAAATTAGAGTCATGAAACTTGTAAGTGACAGAGTGTCAGGTCGACGATGATTAACAGTACCGCAGACACGATACCAATAACGAAAGCAACCACACAGACCAAAGAACGACACAAGCTGGCTTGAATAGTTTCTATCTATGTAAGTATAACACTCACTACATTACAATCACACATTTATTGATACCAGAGTCTTCTTTTAACAATTTTTATATTTATTCCCTTCTTTGTTAAAAATATTCCGGACACATCCACACACCTGAATTATTTAAAAGTGTTCACATTTTTTGTCTAAAATACAGTTTATTTACAATACATCAGTTATCCACTTATGAATAAAACATATACTTATGATTGTAGGATTTAGACTAACATGTAATATGTATTTTAGATTTTGGGGAGGGACTTTCATACCACTACACAGCTTTAGGTTTTGCAAAAAAAAAAAAAAAAAAAAAAAAAAAAAATCAAGTGTAAACACTGCAACTATATAAATAACTGGTTTAACATTCCTATAAAATATGATTACAGATTATATAAATATGAATAATCATAAATTTTTATTAATAAGATAGATTAAAAATACATTCCTTAAGAATTGACATTAGTTCTCAAGTAACAAACTTAAATAAATAGAAGCAAATTATTATGTGCTCTTACAACATCACCCCTTACCAAAACCATACTTGTAGAGCTAAAACCTTTAAATAATTAACTGAGTTGCCGGTTGTCACTCTTCAGTGACCATTAGCCAACTCGGTTGTCTTCTTGGCATAAAATCTCCTGTACTTGGAGTCAACCTCAGTCAAATAGTAAGTGCCTGGAGCCAAATGACTAGTGTCCTTGCTTGTCACAAAGTCCTTCCCACCATATCTGTGCTCCATCAAGTGCATCAATTCCACAAATTTTTCTGGCACAACCTGCACACACATATATATAATGATTAAGTTACAGAACATAACATAACAGAACAGAACAGGATACAGTGTTTAATAGCATACCTCTGTCCTGGTCTTTAACTTATGGTCAATATTCAGGACCTTTGCGATGTTTGATAAACTAAAAGGTGCTTTTCCCTCGCTAAGATGTAGCGAAAACATTGTAGCAGATAATCCACTCCCGTATGAGAACATCATTACACGGTTCCCATCCTGAAAATTAGAAAAAAAACATATATACACTTTAAGTATTTGATTCTTTTATTAAAGCATTTAACAAGAAGTGTAAAACCAATGCATACCAAAGAGTCACTCTTGTTGTGAATGAGAGAAGCAAAAGCAGCATAAATAGATGCAGTGTACATGTTTCCCAGTTGCTTGGGGATCAAAGTTGCCGGCTTCACTTTTTTATCATAATCTGGTTTTGCCACTTGCTGGGCTGCCTGTAGATCATAAACCTCCTTGATTATTTGTTTTTTTTTTTTTAAATTTATTTATTACAAATAAAATGTTACCTTTTCAAGATCACGGCTTTGGTAGCTCTCGTCGCCCTTTAGAGACGTGAATTGACCTAGCTTCTCCTTAGCAGACTCATCAACAGAGCTGAAAATATAAATAATTGTTAAGAAATAAAAATATTATTAAAAATTATTAATAACAGTGGTTTAAAAGAGCTAATTCGATAATCACCTGACATTTCTGGCAACATCATCGAACACCAAACGAGCAAAACTCTTCTGTACAAGCTGCATAAATAAATTCAAATAAAACTTTCAATTCAAACCGTCTTAACGACAAACCAAATGACCATTTTACCCTTACAATTCAAACTAAATAATTTACCTTGTTATACGGACTGTGAAACACAAAAAAATCAGCATCCGCCATTGAAAACTGTTTCCCTTGAAGTTTCTCATACTTTTGACAGTATCCCTTGTAGCAAGAATCAAGAGCCATGAGATAACAAGTTTGGGAGAGTTTCCCATCAACAACTGGATATTCACTTGCAAGGTCTGGTTTGTAAAAGTCATAAACATGTGACATATGACTTGCCCTAAATTTGCTTTCAAAAGCAATCGGGGCATCAGGTCCGATCAGCATGGCAACAGCACCTGCCCCTCCTGTTGGTCGGGCAGCCCCCTCAGCATAGACCGCACTGTCTGTGGAGACAACTAATCCATACCTGCCATCCCATGAACTGCTTTCCACCCAATTCACACAGTTGAATAATGCTGCAGTTCCACCATAGCATGCATTGGTTGAATCCACACCTTCAATGTCTGTGTTTCCACATTCCTGTATAAAAATATCTTATTATTTTAGTATATAATAAAAAAGATAATGATATAGTATCATTTATGTAACAAGTAATACCTCAAAGATTTGCATCAGGAAGGTCTTGATGGATTTGCTCTTGTCTATGACAGTTTCACTACCGACTTCAAGGCGACCGATTTGTTTTGGGTCGATTTCATACTTCTCTAATAGTGATGTGACAGCTGTCAATCTGAAAATGAAAATGTTAACTCTCCAGAATGATCTTTTAATGTGCTACTCATAACAAAAGCGCTGCACATGAGTGAGATAAAGGTACCAACCCCATAGAGATGACATCTTCAACCTCTGAACAAAATGCCATGCAATCTTGTCCGAGTCCAATCGTGTATTTTCCTTTGCTAACTCCATCAAAATCTTCTAGGGTATCCTGTAAATTAGTTACCCAATAAGAATTAAGAGCTTGCTTTGAGTAACAGAACATAGCATCTAGATTTACTAACAATTAAACCACAGATAAAAAGTGAAAACAGGTCAAGTAGAAGATAGATTTATTAGCATGCTCTGGTTTGTCAGCTTAGAAACTTTAACTCTGCCATATTAATTTCCTCAGTCTATCTATGATTAAATTTATATCCAGGGTTATAGCTGTGCATACTTATTGAGTCCTACAATACTGTAGTAATGCTTCCGTTCATCAGTTGTACATAATGGAAACAACACTCTAGTATCTTATCCCATGTTCTTCTCTAAGACATTCTTGTATCTTATGCAAACTTTATGATGTTTGTAGTGGTTTTGCAGATAATGTGCTAAGAGCTAGAAGCAGAACCTTCGTATGATGAGAAACTAATACAAGTGTTGCGTGTAATACGTATGTGATTCTAAGCAAAAACAGTCCAGAACTGAAAAAAAGTTCAACTCTCTTCCCAAAAGCTCAGAATATGGATCTATAATGTTGGATCCAGTCATCAAATTTCTTGGAGGTCAAATAGAATAAAGTCAAACTTAGTACAGATAAGGCTACATAGATACCAACCATTTATGTCAAGCAATGGTGCATATGACTACCAGAAAATAACAATATTCATGAACTTATAATATT